GTCTTACCTCCCACTGCATCTCCAGTTGCTAGAACTCTGCTTAACACACAGTAGGCACTGAGTAAATATTTGTTGTATGAATGCTAATGCTCAATAAATGTTTAGAGTGAATTAATAGCTAAGACTATTTCCTGAAACATGAGGCTTTGGTTGGTTAAACTATTTTACTACGAATAGAATTAGATTCTGAGATACTTAAAAATAGAAAGAGACATAAATTTCATCTGCCTCCCACAGAGTACAAGAACTCTAACAAGCATCTGCTTGAAGAAGTCTAGTGATAAGGCATCCATTATTTTGTTAGAGGCCTTTCGAAAGAAAATCTGCCTTCACGTAGCTTTCACTACTTGGTTATGGTTTGGCTGCTATACCTATGTGTAATATAGCATCCTTAGAAATAAGTTGCTATCTGAGTCCTCAAAAAACCTTAACTGAATTCCAAATTCTTGCTTTTAACTCTTTATCCTATGATATTTTTTTCTAGATCAAGGGCTCCACTTTGTTAAAGTTTTTCCTAAAATAATTAATCTAGCACTGCACATAATATTCCAGATTATGTGATAGGTACACAGTAGACTTTTATACCTCCTCTGTTTCTATCAATTGCATTGTCTGTTCTTTTCTTTCCTCTCCTCATTCCTTCCATCCCTCTCTTCCTTTTCCCCCCACTCACCCATAGTCATGTTATTTGCTTTGACTTACACTGCATTTGTAATCTGAGAAGTGTGGTGGTGAAGAATGCAGGCTCTGGGCATAGAACACATGGACTTGAGTCTTGGATTCAGCATTTATCAGCAAGAAGATGTTTAGCAAGTTCCTAAAAATTGCTGTGCCCCAGTTTTCCCATCTGCAAAATGGGGAGAAGAACAGTATCTAGGCATTATTATCCCTTCATACTTGATTGGTTACTTGGTTAAGTGTAATGTTCTAGGCCGAACATTTGTTTTTATAATATTGGAGACATTTCCCCCATAGTCTTCTGGTATTGTGATGAGAAATCTCATGGCTCTCTAATTTTCTTTCCTTGATTGAGATCTGTTCTAACAGCAGACTGTTCTGTTCATCCTGGGAGTTCTGAATGTATGTTTCCTTATTGTGACTACAAGATGTTTTGCTTTGATTAATACCATAAATCTAGGCCTTAGCAGTGAGTGTAAACTGCATATAGGTAATACTCATGTCCAGTCTATTTGCCACTGTAAACCCAGCATGTTGTACTGTGCATGGCACATAACAGGCATTCAAGAAATATTTGTTGAATAAAAGAATGAATGATCTCTCCAGAACCCAAAACATATCTAATAATACGTAAGGGTTCAAGGACTTCACTGCACTCGAGACAACTTTAACCAGTATATATAATACTAGAATCCCTGTAATTCTCAGAATATCTGTTGTTATATCTTTCCAGTTAAAATTTTAAGTGCTATGTATTTTGCACAAATTTTCTCTCTTGGTCTTGAAACAAGCTGGAAAGGAGAATTTCATTTCCACTTTCACAAATGAGGACTCTTTGCCTCAAAGATTTTCCTGAAATTACCCTAGTGGGAAATGGTGGAGCTAAAACTAGAATTTACATTCTCATGACCAAGTCTAGGATTCTCAATTGGTACCTTGTGTATATGTGAATTATTCCCCTGAGGCCCATACATTTAATTTATGCACACTTTTCTTCTTTCCCTCGTAGCAGTCATTTATCATATTTTGATAATATCTCAAGAGCTTTTTTCCCCCACTTTTCCACCCTGCCTTGTCTCCTCTCCTTTGGGGCCCTGCCTTCATTAATACTTTCTTAGACAAATTTTAATCACCTTTATATAACTATAAAATATTAGATTAGCCTATTTAATGATTGAATGAAAAGTCAAACATTTCCTTTTGTTGCTTAGGCAAAAGTATGTCCCATAGTATATAATGGAACAAAATAGAAGGATATACCTAAAAGACTCTACATAGGGGATTGATCTATTACAGTATTTGCATTTTAGTTTCAAAAGCATTTTGTCTCTCGGTCCTTCTTTGAATATTTTATTATCATGGAACATCATTACTCAGTAATTTTGTCCTCAAGTTTGCATCAGTATTTTATCAGAAAATTAAGTAAAAAATCTAAATGCCTAAAGAAAAACCAATCACTACCACCTCCACAAAATACTGAAATTACTTGAAAATAATGTATTTTATAAAGGAAGTGTATTTGAATATTTTCATTTTGGCAACTGGCTGCTAAATTGTATGATTATTGACTCATGAAATTGTTTGGGGAAAAAAAAACAAGTTATTTTCCCTGGGCTCTCTCAAAATATAACTTCTTAGTCAAAGCTTATCATAAATACTTTTTAGAACAACTAAAACCTCCAAACACTTCTTTCCACTCTTCTTAAAAGCCCAATTATAGTTAGATTTTTTCAACATTATAAATAAGTCAAATCAAGCTTAAGAGATTTTAACCAACTTGTCAAGATGCCATAGAGCTTCACAGAGAACGAAACACAGGAACCTTGGCTACAGCTTTTAGTTACAACAATAGGATAAGCTTTCATAGTTCAGCAATATAAAAATCAATTAGTGACTCTCCTTTATGCATTTGATGGAAACTAATGAGGAAACAAGCTATTGTCTCTGATTAAATATAAGAAATAACAACTTCCAGTTTGGTAAATCCCCAAATAGGTGACTTCGAAGATTTATTTTAGAAACCAGCATAAGACAACAAAATTCTTATAAACAGAACCATTTGTGATTAGTTTTAAAAGAAACGTCCCTCAAAAGAAGGAGAAAGGGAGAAGGAAATATGAATGTAACTGGTTTATACATGTTGACACCCATTATCTCCAGCTAAATATTAAAAGGGTGAAAACTTCACCACAACTGTAGCTACTTTAAAGTAAAAACAAAAACTGTCATCATAGAGGCCCTGACAGCTAATTATAATGGCAACATATAGCTTTACTTTTTAATATTCTTTTATTGTTTGGCCAGAATAATCCAAATTATCTATACTATTATGATAAAATGAATTACTTGTCTATTTTAACTGCATAACACTTCTCCCTCACTCACTCTTACATATGGTAAAAAAAAAAAAAAAAGTACCTGGAATTCCAATTAGAATTTCACTCTTGAAAACTGCAAAGAAAAGCCAATAGAGCAACGATTGACTTGTTTTATGTTTCAGTTCAAATCTAAAACATACTGAATATGAAAACTTGTAGAAATCATAAGTGATCTCCTACTGCCCTTCATTTCCTAGATGAATTAACTGTTCAAAGAGGGTAAGGACTCTTGACATAGATCATGTCTCTAGACTTCCAGAACCCATCTCTGTCCACTATACTACATAACTCTTTAACTCTGAGCAACTTGAAGAGAGTTCTGGAGCCAATTATGATAATTATAATGTAAATAGACTCAAAAACAAAAGATATGATTTCTTTACTATCTCTTTAGATGTTTTGTTTTAGATATTTCATCAATCAGCTTGTCTATTAGGTTCCAAGGGAAACTTGCTCTTATAATTGGCAAAGGAGCATACAGGTTGTTACTTCAGAAAACCACTGGGTAAATCTGTTTTTACTTATTAGAATACAGATTCATTTGTAATATTATGAAGATGCATGAAAACACTGATACATGATCAACCAAAATATCTCCTATAATTTTACAATATATTCAAAGAAATAAGTGATTATGATACAACTTACATACAGGAAATAATTAGTCAGTAGTATGTTTGTGCCCATGCAGAACGAATTTTAAGTTTCTAAGGGGAAAGGGTAAATAAACTAAAACTGTGATACTTTAAAAAAAATCATATGTCAAACATTTTCTGGCCAGTCAAATACTGCTCAGCATAGCTTAATCCATTCTCTGTTTCTGGAGAGAAAATATAGTTGTTCTATGTGCTGGTAATGACAAAAATATTCACTCTAGCTATATAGAGTCATCATCATCATTTTTTTTAGTATTGATGCAAGTAGTGATAAAGACATGTTTCCATCTGCATAGTGATTGCATTTTACTCGAGTTCTAAACAAGATCACATAATACAATAATATAATGTTAAATATGCATTTATATAAAACACAGTTACATGATATGAATAGTATGTCCAAGACCTTAATAGTGTCTATGTCTTAATATATGTTAACTCCATTCAGCCACTACTCTTATACCCAGGTACAATACCTGAGCATTTTATTTTTCTGTCAGACGATCTGAAAGTTTTATTGGAAGATATTACAGCCCAAGGAGCCCAAATCCTGTTCCTGTTAGATTGGAGGCTTGGGGTTGCTAATGTCTCTCTGTCTATCTTTGTCACACACACACACACACACACACACACATTCATATCCATACAATTTTTTACTTCCTTGTAGATAACCAATTAAAATAAAAATTATTCAGATAGCTCAATAAAATATACATGGTTATCTCTAACTTAAATATAACACCCTCTAAACCCTGATTTTTAAGCCATATTTATAATCTCTCTCCATATGTAACTTTGGGTTTTTCCGGAATAGCAAAAAGAAAAAAAGATAAGAGAAAAAGCAATATTTGTTTATAGAAAATCATCATACATACCATGTTGTGTAACAAGTTTCTAAAATAACTTTCTCTTTAAAATTCAGAATTATCCAGAAAGTTCATCAGTGACATTCATCACTAAATTTAGTAGCAAAATCATTTTTACTCCGTCTCCCAGGAACTGAACCTTTACTAGTTTCTACTGTGCCAAGTCAAACAAGCCAAAACAAAACCAAACAAAACAAAACAAATCCAAAACTGAACTGCCTTCCATGCTTTCACACATAGGCTCGTCTCATCCTATCTGAAAATAAGTGTATCTGATCAGAAAATAAAATGATGGTAAAATATCTCGCTTGTGCCCAGAGAAATGCCACTTACTTAACTTGGAATGGTTTTCAAAAAAAAAAGAAATGAGGGGGAAAGGGGTTGATCCCAAAGAATAGTTTTAAGTCCTTAAATTTACTCACCAGTTTCCCAGATGCAGGGTCAGTAACAAGAACATCAGCCTCACCACTCCACTTTGACTCCACAGAAGAAAAGGGGAGAAGAGAAAAGCTTTCCAAGAACCCATCAGGATCGCTTTTTCCTCTCAGTTCTCCAAGCTAGGACTTTTTCTCTCACCTCGGCAGCAGCCAGGAGAGTACAGCGGGGGAGAGTGGTAAGGCAGTACACCTCCCAACCAGGTAGGATGCGACTCCCAGCGGAATTGAGCCGGGGAGCCAATCAGACCCAGAGGATGCTGGCATAAATTATCTGAAAAAGAGTTGGGCCAATCTAAGGCCCAAAGAGGCGGGGCTTCTCCTACTAGAAATCGAGCCCAGTGGGGAAAAGGGCTCCGTCTTTCCAAAAGAAAAACAAACCTCCCTCTCTCTCAGCCTCGGAGAAACGTTTGAGTGGCCTCGACAGATTCCCTCCCTAGGGGAAGAAGCCTCCCTCTTCCCCCTGGCCTACCCTCCTGCCTGACACTATTTCGGGGGCCACTGCCTCTTTCTCTCCCGCGTTTGAATTCTGAATCTGCCTTCCCAGAGAGACCCGTGGCAAGCTTACAGTACCTAATCGGTTTTCCCAGGCTCACGAAGGTTCTGCTAATGTTTGTTAATTATCGTTGTTAATTTTGAGTGCTGGGCGGTGTCTCATTTCGCTTTGCAGTCCCAGCACCTGGCACAGTGCCCGGCACAAATGAGCTCTCAGGAGAGGCTGAATATCTAATTGTATGAATGAATGAGCGGGCTCGGTGCATTCCTGGTAATCACGTTTCCAACCCCCCTTTCGCTGCCTTTACGAGTGAAAGGATTGGCAGTCTCCTCTCTCAGGGCACCAAAGGATGCTCATGAATAATGCCCTGCAAGAACTATCGCATTTTACAGAAACATAAACAAAAATTCTATTTTAAAATGGTCCTCTTAGCCATAGGAGTTGGAGACCTATTACATGGGTAATCCTTGCTCTCTGCTCCCTCCTCAGTTGCCTTCCCGTTTGTTGAGCTCCGTGTTTGGTACCTAACTTCAGAGGCTCTGCTTTGAGTTTGCAGCCGAGCCCAACAGTTGCCATGGCAACCAGAAGCCTCTGGCAGCTTGAACAACTGTACAGGGGAAGACAGTGGTAGTGGTTGGTGGTGGTAGAAGCAGGCTGTCTCTGCCCAGCCATCTTCTGCCTTTATGCCTTCCTCAATCCCTGCTTCCCACTGAAGCCACCCGGAGTTGGGGTCTTTGGCTGTCTCTTTGATCACCCCACAACCACCTAGAATTGACCAGATTCAGGGGTGAATGGCAAGTAAAAACCACGGAGTTACTTGAGAGTATTTGTCTCCGGGCAAACAATTCAAGGCAGAAGTAACAGTGTTTGTGCATGAGCATAAGGTAACTGTTGCTACCTTATCTACTCAAATCACTTACAGGAACTGGATGGGGGTAAAAAGGTTACAGATATTTCCTGGCCCAGAATAACAGATGGTGCAGTGGGGGGCTTTTCTCTTCTCTCTGACTGATTCTCCATCTTTTTAGTCTCCTCTGAAAATAGTATTGACCTCCTTGTTTTTCCTCTTCTACTAAACGTTAATTAGACAGCATTATTCTCTTCCGACAAAGCATGTTAGTCAAGGTAGCTCATACCAAATAATTTATTTAACAATAAAGTTTCGTTATAATAGATTCTGAGGTGAATAAATTTAGTTAAAAGTTGAAGTCAATATAAATCTCAGTAGATTTTTTTCTGCTTTAATTAAGAATGTGCTTTGGACACCTATTTAACTGTTTCATTGGATGCCCACACTAATTCACTGATCTGATTAGCCAGTGAACCAGGAATTAATTCACTAGAAGTATGTAGTGAATAGCAAATACTTGCCTGGTTACTCTTTGCGTTATGTTAAGATTAGGTAAGATTTTTGCATATATTAATGGGGATATGATACTGCAGAGTGTTATACAATAGGTAGTTGATAGTTCTTCCATCAAAAATTCTTAACAAGGTTTCACTCTTATTGTTCCCATATATAACTGAAAGATGGTGAGAACAGTTAAGAGAAATTAATGGAGAGGAACGGTGAAGGATATACCCTTGAGTGATTACATGTTGCCTGTTTACTTTTATGGAAGATAAAGGACTGGAGTAATTTCTAGACCGAGAAATTTCCTGTATTTTTCCAAACTCTAGATTTTGGACAAATTCGTGCTGCAATATTTTCAAATTTATCTCATTCCTTTCTTTCAAGCAATTTTATCTGACTATTTCTATCTTTTTTATTTTTTTTCCTTTTTATAACATATATCTTCTGGAAAACTGATCCTATTTTGCTGTCATAGTTAATTATAATTCCCTGTAAACTGAGTAAAAGGGATCTGAGCCCTCCAGAACCCGAAGAAGGAATAATTATTTTGGATATCAGCCATGTCTTGACCCTGAGAGTCTGTCTCCTTTGATTTAATAAACCAGATGGGTCAGGGGGTTGGGGGGGAGGACACATATTGTGAGTCCTGAAAAAAGCCAAGTAAGATACTATACTTGTCAAAAAAAGCAGTGTCTTACAGAGTAATACTCAAGAGAAAACAGATCAGGTGTCATGCATGATTCTAGGTTAGAAGGCCAGAAATTTCTACAGCTAAGGGACTGGAGGAAGCTCGCTGTCTTCCATTGTGGCAGTCATTTCCAACTCAAGTCATTTGACCCCATGAGACCTTTATCAATATCTGAAGATACTTTCAGTTGTCACAACTTGGGGAGAGGGGAGGCGTAAGCTACTGGCATCTAGGGGTAGAGTCCAGAGTTGCTGCTACACATTCTATAACTGAAAAGAAAGCTGTCCTACAACAAAGAATTATAAAGTTCAAATTGTCAATAAACTGAAGTTGAGAAGCCCTGCAATATGGATGAAGGAAATAGGTAACCAGAGTCCACTGCACTTGTTGATTTCCTTATACTTCTTTGAAGTCACCATTCCCCTCCTCCTTCCTTTGATAGGCTGAGCCACAACCATCACTCATATCTAGCTGCAATGACTATCAACTCATTGTGCACAGCAAATTTCTGTTTTCCAGAATTTGTTCAGGTATCATCTTAGAATAAAATGTTTGAGATCCCTATTAAAAATGCAGATTCATGGGCTTCTATCTAGACCTAATAAGATTTTTAGCAAGAACCTCTGGAAATAATCATGCACCAGAAAGTTTGAGAACCATTGTCCTATAATCATTTCACAATATGACCAGGAAGACAGTGACTTGATTATGTACGTGCAACCCTGGCCCCAACAAACCCAGTTTTTGACATGATTCATCTGGTCATTATTAATTTATTCATTAAAAATATGTATTGAAAAATTCTGATGTCAGACACTATGTCTGACCTTAAGAATACAATGGTGAACAAGACCTGCAACTTTGTGCCTCAATTTCTTCACTTATAAAAAGGAGGTAAGAATTCTATTTAGCTGATAGAGTTGTTTTAAGGATTAAATGGATTAATATATGGGGATCGCTTAAACGGTACATGTATATAGAAATTACTCAAAAAATGTCATTGTTGTTAACTCATTGGAAGTAGGTTTCAAGTGTAATTTATTTCCTCCAGCCTTAAGTATAATTCCTGGCACCAGGTAGTTATTTCTAGTAGCTACAGTCCAATAGGGTGAGTGGAGAGGATTAGGGGGCACTGCTGTTCTCACCCCACCCTCAACATTACCATTATTCCTGGCTTCTCCAAAGCTTTTGCTCTGGGAAAGAAATGCACTTTTCTTCCGATGGCCACAAACTGTACTTCAGTCAAAACAATAACAGGTTCCTAAACGTATTCCTCAGTATCATACTTGTTTTGCCTTGTCAGATGCTGCTTCCTTAGCTCAGGAAGCTTTTCCTCCTCTCCCTTTGCCTGCTCTCTTCATCCTTCCTCGTTAAGTTTAGGGCTTATTTTTTCCCCCAAGCCCTTATTGCTTATTCACTCCGTGCTAGTCTGTTGTATAGTCTGTCCTATAATAATAGTTAAAACCTACTGAATGTTTACTATGTATCACCAGACATTATACTTATCAGTTCTAAATTACAAGCGCATATAGTCTTCTGTTCACTTAAAGCAACCACTTCATATTTGTATCATAGAATATATCACCATTTTTGGAAACTATCTGGATTGCTACCCAAACCGTCGGTTCTGTGTTTTTAAATTTTATACTGAAGAGTCACAGTGCTTATCAGATCTCGTATTATAATATGTGTATATTTAATATTATGATAGTATGTGTATCTTTACCTTTCTCTCCCTAGAGTGTGGCAGCTCAATGAAGGCAGAGATTTCATTTCTTTTCATCACCCCCTTTGTCCAAAGCAGTGGTTGGCAAGTAATAGATGCTCAATACATATCTGCAGAATAATTAAGTATTCAATGTATAATCAAATGAATAAACACATTGATGGCTTTAATCCTTTTATATATTTCTGGATCCCTTAAGGGATCTCTCTTCAACAGCGTAAGTCTTAGTGCCCATCGCTAAGTAGACAAAATCTAGATTGCGTTGATTAACTTATTCCTTCCATGGGACCATGGTAATTAATTACTTTTCCTGTATATAGGTCAATATGATCAAAATTAACAAACCACGTCATCTTAATTTATAAATTTATATAATCAAGTTATTACTTAAACAGAAGAGAGGGCCAACACAAAGAGATTTCAAGACTGAAGGCACACTCTTTGTCAATCTGTCCAGCCTCCTGAATCCTGTATGTGGCCTCTAGAATGCAGCCAAGAGAGAGAGTTCAGAACTGATCCTTGGTGGCAGACAGCAATGGATCTATAGCTTCTAACCCTAAGTCCATCCCATTTTTTTGTTTGGTTCTGTATTGTAATTCCTTAATATAGCTTTCTGCTGCTGGTTATCTCTACTTTTTCTTGTTTATTCCCTATTTTCCATTCTATCTGATTTCCTCACCAATATGCAAGTATGCTCATGTATAACATTAAAATATGCATATACACATATTAACCTCGTTTCCCACTCTGTCTTCCATGCTTATCACTTACTCCCATTAATAGCCATCCTTCCCTACTTCTTCCCCATTCATCACTCACCAAAATCTACGGTTTGCCTTCTGCCCCCATGACACCAATTCCTCTATGTTGCTAAATCCAGTAGATGTTCTGCTTAGTCACTTTCTATGATCTTTCATCAGCATTTGATCCAGTTGACCATTTCTTTTCTCAAAACACTCATACATGTCATGATACCATGCTTTCCTGGTT